ATGTTATATGTCAGATATACCTCAATTTTTTAAAAAAGAGGATGAAGGTGAGAAACAGTTCAGAGAAAAAAACTGCCAGGACTTGATCAATTAACATGGAAAATAAGAGGACATAATCAAAGGATTCAGATTTGTAGCTTAGGTGACTTTTTGCATATAATTAAATTAACCATTACAGGAAACACAAGAAGAAAAGCAACTTTCAGGAAAAGCAAACTACAACAGGCTTAGCATTGGAAATACTGAATCTGTAGTTGGAAATTTAGATTGGGAGGAAGGGTCACAAAAGAACTGTACATATCTTGATTTGATTATTTTATTCATTTAGCAAATTATTTGAGGATCCACTATGTTGCCAGGAACGTAGACCACAAAAATATAAAAATGAATAAGAAACGGTGCTGCCCCTGAGGGTCTCAATCCAGTAAAAGAAATGGAATCTATATGTGGGCAGAGCATAGAGACTAGTGGAGCAAGTTCTCAGAGGATGATGGGTTCACTCTCAACCTTGGCCACATATTAGAATCATCCGGGGGCGCTCCTAAACATCCCAATGCCCAATCCACACTCTGGGGGTGGGGTCTAGGCATCAGCGGTTGCTTAAACTCTCCAGGTGATGCCTATGTGCAGCCAAGATTAAGAAAGCAGTAGCTTGACTCAGAAGAGAACAGCTGGGACACTTGTTCCTTTAAAATATTTGGCAATAATGGGGGTAGGAGTGTGGAGAAAGATAAGAAGTAGAAATAAGGGAATTTGATTGAAGGAGTTCCTGCCAAATAGCTTGATGATTTATAGTTTATCTGTAAAGAAAAAGTATCAAAGGCTAAGAATAAGGGTATATAAGAATAAGGTAGGCATCTTAAGTAGAGTAGCAAAGTTTTGCAGAAGACTCTGCAGAGAGTGTGAAAAAGAGTAGATTAAGAAGAAGTAAAAGTATTTCTAGGCAGTTATAAGGCTCCAATGTGAAGTAGGCGATCACGCATTGGTAGCAGCATCCATTTACAAAGTTCTTCAATTTTCCCTAACAATGCTTGGCAGTTCAAGAGCGTGAATAGAGAAAACATTCATCCCAGAATGTAGATTGATAGGTCAGAAGGATGGAGGGAACTGAGCGCTGGTGAGAGTTAAAAATAGGGAAAATAAGAATGAGGCATGGGTTTGCAGGCCTTGATGATGATGAGAACACACTAAATGCATAAAGGAGTCAGAGAGATCAGAGGAGAGGGGATTTCGGTCAAAATGCGATTTCCAAATTTAAGATTTCAAGATAGCAGAATACACGGTGAGTTATGGCAACAGACTCCTAATTGGTCTTCCTAATCTGTTTTTGCCCTTCTCCAATCCATTAACCACACTGCCCAAAACGTGGTCTTTCTAAATTAAAAGTCTGACCATCTCTCCTCACTCTCAAACCTCAATCTGCCAGATGAATTCAATCAAAAGCCAGCTCAAGAAGCCTTAATTATCACTTTCCCAATCCTGAAAGTTAACACCCTGTTCCTCTACACTCTGTCACTCTCCCCCAATCTTATACAAGCCTTTCTACTTATAGTTCTCATACTGTGTTTACTTTACGAGTCTGTTTACTCCACTAGATTCTGAGTTCCTTGAAGGCTAGAACCAAGTTCTAATCATCTTTTAACCCATATTTCAACCATCTTCCTGAAAATTCAACAAGTAGAAATATCAGCTCCGGCATTTCTTGCTCTCTTATGCTTGTATTACCACCTTTAATGATGATTTCTTTGGGGGAAACTCTTTAGGCCACTTGTCCATTTTTGTGAAGGTGTATTTAGTTAAAACTAGATAGAAAATATAATCTACAAATACACTCAACCAGTCACTGTATTATGTGACCACATGCTGAAGCAAATAATCAAAGGAAAGTACTAATTTCAACTCTTCCAAGTAGTGGAATTCCCACTCCTCCCTTAGGATACCTCATTTACTGTCTGTGACATGTGTCCATCTGAGAAATGAAAAGTGAGGACACCAGTATCAATCCATATTTTTTAAAAAATTAATGAAACCCAGGGGGCCGGCCCCATGGCATAGCGGTTAAGTGCACATGCTCCGCTGCTGGTGGCCCGGGTTCGGATCTCGATGCACTGCTTGTCAGGCCATGCTGTGGCAGCGTCCCATATAAAAAAGTGGAGGAAGATGGGCACAGATGTTAGCCCAGGGCCAGTCTTCCTCAGCAAAAACAAAGAGGAGGATTGGCATGGATGTTAGCTCAGGGCTGATCTTCCTCACAAAAAAAATTAATGAAACAAAATTTCTTTTCTATTTATTAGATAAAAATAAATACAAACCAAACTTCTAATATTTCTTTCTACACCCCAGTGGATCATCTGGCACACTCCATGATGTATATACACCTCCACTTTAGAAGTCATTGGTCTAGACATGAGGTTATGACTACCTTGTCAGCCACTATGAAAAAAAATAACAATAATAATTAAAATACATATCATACTACCTAAAATGTCATTTTTATTAAGGTTTTATATTTTTTAAGCTAAAAACTTTTTGGAGGATTTCAGATATTCAGCACTTTGTATGAGCTTAAAAAGATTGCTTTCCTAATACCTTGTACTATTGGAATAAGAAGTTAGTATAGGGGACAGAAAAAGAAAGCATTAAAAGGTAATTTGGGGGCCAGCCCCGTGGCTTAGCGGTTAAGTGCGCGCACTCCGCTGCTGGCGGCTGGGGTTCGGAACCCCCGGCGCACACTGACGCACTGCTTCTCCCGCCATGCTGAGGCCGTGTCCCACACACAGCAACTAGAAGGATGTGCAGCTATGACATACAACTATCTACTGGGGCTTTGGGGGGAAAAAAGAAATTAATTAATTAATTTTTTTAAAAAAGGTAATTTGGAACCCTTACAGAAATACTGAGCCTCCAAATTAGAATTCAGGTTACTAGGTACAGGCTGGTGGTGAACATTTAGGAGTTCTCTGGATTCCTCCTTGGCATCTCACCACACTTGAACTACTTATTCAATTTCTGTCTTATGGACTAGTTACGAGCTCCCATGAGAGGAAGGGCTGGCTGTCTTGTTGCCTGCTGTATTCCTAGCCACAAGAACATTGCCATGTGGCACACAGTAGATGCTCAAAAAATATTTACTAAACGAATGAATTAAAGAATGAAGTGGTTTCATTGAAGTAGTGATTAAGAAACTAATCAAAGAAAAGAGAACAAAAAACATGCTAAACGTTGAGTCTTTGAGGAATACCTACAATAAAGCCATCAGAAGTGCCAGCAGAGTAGAATGAGACAGTCCAGGAGGCAGCTGGAAAACCAGGAAAAATGAGGTCCTGGAAAGGGGTGTGCTGTTGGGAAGGGGCTGAGTAGAGTCACTGTGGAAGTTGGGGAAACGGCTGTTTGACTTACCAAGAAGATAACTGGCAACCTCAAGAATGCTGTTTAGGTATAGTTATAGAAACAGAAGTCAACTGCATGGAAGCAGGCAGGAAATGGGTGGTACCGAAACAAGGCAATACACTAGTCTTATGATTTTGTCAGTGAAACAAGAGAAACAGTATTACAGCTACAGAGGCTCAACAGGAAGAAGTGAAGATTCTTTTCAAGTCAGGAAGATCTACATGTTAGAGGAAGAGGATCCAGAGTTTTTTCCTCTAATGGTGGACACAGTGGTGTGATCCTTTTGTAGAAATGGACGTAAATTATGGCAAATATACTTATTTGCTTTTCCACATAGAAATCTAAAATGGACAATAAATGAAAAACAAGATTCCTTATTATATATTTCCTTTCCCATATTTCTGGAAAAATAGGTTGATATGCAAGATACATGGAGTAATTTGGGTCTGGGAGATTCATTCCACTGGAGTTACCTTGGAAAGAAGTGGTTGTTTCTGTCACCACCACAAAGAATAAAAGAACACAGATATTTATGTTATCTGGTGTTTCTTATTATGCTTTTCCTAACTAATCTTTCAGCCTTTAACAGCAGCCACTGCTTCTGTGACTGCTGTTTCAGTAAAATACCGAAGCCTGAATGTGAGCTCATTTCATTGCCTGCTGGGCCTGCATTTTCTCAGCCCTAATGTAACAAAAGGGCACAGCGACACCAAAAATACATAGCGAGTTTTCTTATTCTTGAAATAGTATTGTCTCTCCCTCCGTGCTTGTACCTGTTTTAACTTACTTCAAGCATAGTGCATCTTGAAGAGCGCTAAAGAAGTTACTCGGAATTACGTATAGGTCTTGGAACAGATTTCACATCATATGCTCATTTTTTGTTATTAAAATTCGCCACGCTGACTCTTAAGGGTTATTCTATGTAGCTCATCATCTTATACTTCTGTGCGTCCTCCACCTGGCGCTTTGCGTCCCCGGCACCGTGCTTTGCACCCAATAGGCACCTAGTGTTGATCCTGTAATCCAGTGTGCGCATGCTGTCTTAAGGCCGTCACAAGTCCTTGTGGCAGCAGTTACAGAGCTTTTGGTGGGGGTGGCCAGGTCCCCAAAGGTTGTCAAGTAATCGAACTGAGAGCTTCCTGAGGGCAGGCACAGTTTGTTCAGCATGGTAGCTCCAGCGCCTAATTCAGTCGTGGTACACAGCAGATACTCACTAATACTGAATGAAGGAAGAACACGCTTGGTGGGGACATTAAATTCAACCCTACTCTGCAAACGTTCGCCGAGTGCCATCCAGGCGTCAGGGACCAACCCGGCGCGGGTGCTACAAGATACCGGGAGCTGTTGGCTCTATTTTCTCAGATATTGTAATTCTATGCTATAACTTCCATATTTTCTCTTAAAACACAAAGAGGCATTTGGGTTGTCTCTGTTCTTGGTTCTCAAGGGCTTAAGGGCAAACGTGCTGCGAGTCCTCAGCGGGCCGCTCGCTGCGAACGCCACCCTCTCTCGGGAGCAGGGGGCCGAGCTCCCGGCGCGCCCCGCGGCTGAGCCGCCGCGATCCTGAAGGGGTCGCTGTTCCCGCGATAACCTCTATAAAGGCTCCGCCCCGCGGCCGACGCTCGCTTCCTCCGTTGGGGACCCGGCTTCACACGGCCTGAACGCCCAGTCGTTTGTGTTCTGCTCGCCCACAGCGGCCAGAGCCGACGTTAGCGGCCGCAGTCCCGGCCGGACAGGCCCTGCGTCTCGGCCGCCGCCGCCGCCTGGCCGCGCGGCCCGCTCCGAGGCGCTCGTTCTCGCCCCACCCTCCCTCTCCCCCTTCACGGAAACGACAGCTGCGGCGGCGGGGCTGGCGCCGCCTCCCTCCACCTACCACGTCTGCCCCCGCCACTGTCGCCCGGCGCCCCAGCCCGGCCGCGGCGCCCCCGCCTCCCCGCTAGGTCAGCCGGCAGCTCCGCCCGGCGGCAGCCCAGGATGAACATCATGGACTTCAACGTCAAGAAGCTGGCGGCCGACGCGGGCACCTTCCTCAGTCGTGCCGTGCAGGTACCGCGGTGGGGGAAGGGGTGGCGGCGCCCGGGAGGACCAGGGAGGGGCCGCCGGAGCGCCCGGCCGGAGGCGGCTGCGCTCTCCGCCCCTGGCCTCGCCTCCCGCCGGGCGGGCCTGCGGCGGCCGGAGGCCCGGTGATGGGCGCGGCCTGGTGCCCCTCCGGACCCGGCGGCCGTTTTCCTGCCCAACCGCCGCTCCCCGGCAAGCGAGGCGGGGTAGGGACGGGGCCCGGCGCCTCCTCCCGCCCCTGGAGGACACCTTGAGTTCGGCCTCGGGTTTCTGCCCTCACGACGCCGTGCTCGTGTGTGACCTCCCTCCGCGGGCGGGCGGAGGCCTTGTGAGTCCCGCGGGGTAACAGAGACGCAGACCATTCTTGCACCACCCCCACCCTTTCCTTTCGTCTCTCACCCTCCCCAACGAGTCCAAGAAGGAAGTTTCCTTTTCCTGCCCCTCAACCCAAAGAGCTGCCAACACAGTTCCCTCCAGCCCTCCCTCTCCCTGGAAGGACGGTCCCTGGGCTTGGCAGTCCGCGGGAGAAATGGAGATCGCCAGTTGGTGTCCAAACTTTGCCAAGGCCATGGGAAACCTGGCGTTTGGGGGTTCCCACTCATTCTCAAAATGGGAAGCACCGGCAGTAGGGCGAGGCGAGAGATTCGTGTTGTGCCTATAGTCAGTGTTATGTTTCAAATACACTTTAAGGGGAAAAGTTAGCTATCTCGCGGTATTCCGCAATCAGGGAAGTGTCAGTACTAGGCAACTTGGACAGTTTTCTACGGTCATCACCCACATTATGCCAACTCAGTTAAATCTATGAACAGATGTAAATTTCAGCACAACATGGGTTATAAACAATCTGGTGTCTAAGTTAATGACATAGTCACAGTAGCAACAATATTCTCTTTTGTAAAGAGAAAACAAAAATAGTTTCCTAGTATGCGTAGCAAATTGATACAGAAATGTAAATCAGTTGTTTTGCTTTACTACTTTGCTTGTCTCTTTCACCCCAATTTTATTGGCATAGTTGATCTTACCTTGCACTATTCTTGGCGAAAGAATGGTAGAGCTAGAGCAAGGTAATAGCTGCCTATTGTGAAAAAACTGTGTCAAACATTTTGTTAGGCATTTGACAGATTATCTCCAGTCCCTTCTGTAACTTTGCCAGATAGATGTTATTAACTCCCTTTGATATATAAGAAAGCAGCCTCAGAGAGGTTTAAGCTACTTGCTTAATTTGCAGGCTAGTAAAGAGCCAAGTGCTGTTGGACCTACTCTGCAAGCTGCTTTTCTCTTCCTGGATAAGCATTGCAGGTGTAGGATACACTATAGAATAATAGAATGTTACAGCCTAGAGAGACCTTCTAGTACAATCTGAGCATTTCAGTAACACTTAGGCAATTTACACTTAAGAGATGGGAAATTCCTTCTAGGTCTTGATTTCGAAGTTCCAAAATCTACGTGGTGAGTAATAAGCAAGCTGCCTTAACCCTCTTCTCCCCCTCCTCCACTAAAATATAAGATATATTGTAAAGACATTGAACTTTATAGTTAAAATAATTTCTTGATTTATTAGCCTACTTTTTTTTTTGCTGAGGAAGATTAGCCCTGAGCTAACATCTGTGCCAGTCTTCCTCTATTTTGTATGTGGGTTGCTGCCAGAGTGTGGCTGATGAGTGGTGTAGGTCCGCCTGGGGTCGGAACCAGGCCCCAAAGCGGAGCACAGGAGCTTAACCACTCAACGCAGCGCCAGCCCCCTAGCCTACTTCTAATAGTTCAAAGACAAGGTGCAAGAAGAATAAGTGATTTAGGGTCTGAAATGATTTATGATTTATGAGACTTTGTTGACTGCAAACGAGGCAGAGTCTTTGGTATTATTTGTTTTAGTGCTGATTCCCTGTGATTCTAGATGCTGAATGCAGATTTGACACTTTATAATGCCACTCTTTGAAATACAGTTAGATATGTTTTCAGGTACATAATCCTCACTGCTTAATTAGGACATGTATACTAGAATTTGATTTAAATTGTCTGTAGACTAGATTTAAAAAATCTGGTAAAACTCTCAAAAGATGTACAGGTACTTCCCAAATGAATTTTAATTCCTAATTGTTTCATATTCTTTAGGAAGAAGTTCTTAAATTCTGTCCTAACCTGTTATCTATCAAATAATTTTCAGTCTTAAATACTTAAGTGCCTACTCCATGTCTGCATTTCACTACTACAGTCGTCCCTCGGTATAAGTAGGGTGTTGGTTCCAGGCCCTCTGGGGGATGTGGATACCAAAATCTGTGGATGTTCAAGTCCCTTATATAAAATGCCATACAATTTGCATATAACCTACACACATCCTCCCATTACTTTAAATCATCTCTAGATTACTTATAATACCTAATGCAATGTAAATGCTGTGGAAGTAGTTATTATACTTGTATTGGTTAGGGAATAATGACAAGAAAAAAAAGTCTGTACGCGTTCAGTACAAATGCTACCATCATAGACTTTTTGATCTGCAGTTGGTTGAGTCTGCACATTCAGAACCCACGGATATGGAGGACCCACTGTATTTTGGACACTAGATATAGCAATGAATAAAATCAACAAAACCAGTGAATTATATCAACAAAATGTCTGCCCCCCTGAAGCTTACAATCTAGAAGGAGAAAACAAACTGGTAAATACATCAGATGGTAATGGAGAAAAAGGCCAGAGGGGATAGGTTAATGGCAGGGGTGGTGGTGGTTGCCATATTGTATAGATATGATGGTCAGTGCCAGCCTTTCTAATAGGATCAAATTCAAAGAGACCTCAAGGAAGTAACAGATTCCCAATTTTTTGGAGGAAAAGCATTTCAGGCAGAGGGAACAAGTGCAAAGACTCTGTGGTTGCCGGGGTACTAGGGAGACCAGTTAAGGAGCTGTGGTTATAGGACGGGCAAAAAGTGATGTGACTTAGATAAGAGTTACAGCAGGGGAGGTTCAGAATCTATCCATTATTGCTTGTCAGATTGGCTGGGGTATGAGAGAGAGGTGAGTCAAGGATGACTCTGAGGTTTTGCCTTGAATCGTTTACTAAGAAGGGAAAAATTTCATGAGGAACAGCCTCCTTTAATGTGTCTTTTTATATTGTCTGTTAGAAATATGTTCTGAAATATTTATGTATAAACTATAGCATGTCTGCAGATTGCTTTAAAATATTTCAGAAGAAGAATGGGATGTAGTTGAAACAATATTGGCAGAATGTTGGTAGTTATTGAAGCTGGGTTATGGGTTCGTGAGGTTTCATTATACTATTATACTTTTGTATATGTTTGACATTTTCCACAATACTTTTTTTAAAATAAAATATCTTAGAAAAAAAGATGGTTCCAAAATGTAACATGTGAAATTTGGAATGCTGTATGATAATTTTCAACAAAAGACTACTTTCTCGTTTCAGTATTTAGTCAGTAACTGAGTTCCTACTCTAAATTGAGTTGACATCAGTATGGTGCCAAGTGTCATGCTAAGAATAGCTTAAGAGCTGTGCCAATTACTCATTATAAGCAATAAGAACAGTAGGAAAGGAATTCATCTTCCACATTTCTAAATAATTTCTATTCAAATTATACTTTAAAGAATAGGCTATTCTCTGGTTGGCCAACTTCCATACATTTTTTTCATTTTACTTAAAAATTTTTCAGTTAAAAATTAAACATATTCTCTGTTTTAAAAAAGTGAAATCAAACTATTAAAGCATATAAATGGGTCTCATCACTCCACTTTCACCCTTCAAAAATTAGTTTATATGCCTTGATAGTTAAAAAGAATAAGGTAAAATGTATAAATGAATAGGAATATTCATTCCTTAGCAGTCCATTTGGTGCTTTGTTGTGCTTAACTCCCTCAAAACAATGGAATACAAAAGCATCAGGTAATTTATCCTTGATAAATTGTTACTTTATTAGTGTTTTAAAAGACATTTATTAGTTCTTAGAATCTATCTTTTCCATCCAAAACTCCTTAGTTGAAGTTTAAATGCTCCCTTCTGGCCTTGTCTTTTCTCTCATTCATATATAAACACTGTATTCTTACTAAATTATTTTTTTAATTTCCAAAATGTCTTATACTTTTCTAACTCCAGACTTTTGTTCACACAGTTAAACTCATCTTGAATGCTCTTGGCCCCCTCTGAATATAGTCTTTCCTTCCCTCAAGATACAACTTCAAGTCCATCTTAGACCACAGGAGCTTGATGTGAAATCTTGTGTCATTTTTCAATTCTGTATGATCATGTAGCGTTTTTCTTCTAATGAACCTTTTGTAAGGTCCCTTGGAGCTCTAAAATTCTTGTTATTCTATGGCTTTCACATCTTTAATAAGATCGTTATGTCCTAAAGAATCAACTCTGTTTCTTATTCCCCTCTCACAACATCCAACAAGGTTCTTTTTAATTTTTTATATCATTTTAGGCAAGCAAGGTAGTATGCACGTGCAAAGTTTACTGTTTGAATCGTTTAGCCTGTTAAGTAATTTTATGTTACTTTTTTTCTGACATTATAGCGGCTGACCTTGAAGTTGATTAATGCCAGTCTAAAATATTAAACTATTTAGTTCAACCTATATTTATTGAGTACCTCCTAGGTGCTTACATTGAAGGAAACAGAGATGAATAAGACCCAGTTGCTGCCCTCAAGGACTTCATAGTCTAATCCCAATTTGTCATAATTAGATATTTTACTCTTTGTAGTAAATATCCATTTTGTGAATTGCTATTCTCATACTTCATTTGATAAATCTTTCAAGTGAGCACAATTTTAATTCAGAATTGATATCGAAGCAAAATTTTGCTATCTTTAAAATAAGAGCATATACTTTCTAAAAAAAATATTTTCAAACTAAATTACTTAGGGAAGGGGTTCATTTTAATTTTCTGACGTTTCCTTTGAACTGACTACTAATGTTACACTACAGACTTCATGAATGCCAGCTATTTTCTGAGGGGGAAAAAGTCTTTAAAAATTA